AATTAATTGTTTTGGCTTTAAACCATATTATTAGTTGGTTTTATTCCTTAACTAAGAAGTACTTTACTGCAAGTTAGCTTGCTGTAATTTGTTAGAACAAGAGCTTTACTACTTAGACATTAAGTAAGCTGTAAGCTGTAAGCTGAATATTACAGCCTTTCAAAAGAAAAATAGCCGACTACCTAAAGTCGGTTTATATGCTTTTATATATATATATATATATATATATATATGCAGATTTGTAAAAAACAATCATATTTGGCAATGTAATACATTAAGCCTCCTCACATATACTACTTGGTCCTTTTGTAATATTCTTACGCTTGATAACGTTAAAACCTCATAAATTAAGCTTGCACATGATATATCAGTAGAGCACCGATCTTATCAATTGCTCCGAAGATTCTTTCATGAAGTCCTAGATCATAAGTTACTAATTTTTCTTGCACAAAAATTTCAATAAACTTGAATGTTACAATAAATCACAGCTCAAAGCATAAAAATTATCTCCTTTTGAGGATTGACTGTATTTGCTAACACATCAACAACAGCTACATCATGAAAAGAATTAACTAATGTTCAATAAGAAACTCAAAACTAAGAAGAAAAAAAAAGAATCATACAAAATGCCACTAGAATTACATTTATAAGAGCTTAATAGGCTCGCAATATCCACTCAAAAGAACAACAAAACAAATTGAGAAACACAACATACCCACAAAATATAAGTTATCATTAATTATTTATTTGCTAGCATTCCAAAAACAGAAATAAAAACATTTTTGTGATGATTAGATTAACAAACTATGTTTTCTTTATCGACCACTTCAAGCGGCTTATGCAAGAATTAGATGAAACATTTAACAAGCCAAATTGATCAATCCCAAACAAGTTGCCATCAGTTATGTAGATCTTCATCATACATTCAATTCTTATTCATTCCAAAAATATACTACTAGTTTAAGGATTCTATAAATAACAAAACCAACTAAATATAACAATGACAAACAAGTTAGAATCAGCTATATATTTAGATCCTGTCCTCCATTCAAGTGGAATTCATTCATGTGGTTGCACACATATTTTTCTACCCTTTAACATTATATATATATATATATATATATATATATATATATTACTAGTTTAAGGATTCTATGAATAGCAAAACCAATAAAATCTATCAATCAAAAACAAGCTGGATTCAGCTGTATAATTTGATCCTGTCCTCCATTCAATTCAGGATTCTTCGCACACATATTGTCCTACCCATTAACATTCAAGATTATTATTATTATTTAAAAAATGAAGATTCAAATTTCAAAACATAGTTTAAGTAATCTGAAAACTCCAAACAAAACACTGAAAATTAATGTACCTCGACACTGTAAGAAGGCTTTCCGAATGATTGTCCATCTTCCCTCCGTTATCATTAACACCAAATCCTGAACGCATACACACAAAATATCAGTGACCAATGAAACTTGAAATGGATTGTGAAAGTTTAACAAAGAGAAATTAGACTGAAACCCTAACCTAAAATTTTTGTTTCTATTATATATATCCCTGATCTGATGAAGGAAACTTGACTCGGCTTTTGCCTATCACCATCTTCATCTTCTTCACTTACTCTCTTCTGCGAGTAACGCAACACAGATAAAGGAGGCAGGTTTTATTTCATCCATTTTGATGATTGGGAGGGGATGGTGATTAAGATGTTTATGCAAAGAGACTCTTCAGGTTCTTTCTCCCTAAGGTTTGGTGTTTTGATACCACTTGCTCGCTGGCTTCCTTGCCTCGTTTTGATACATATTAACACAGTGAATTTCAAAACTCTGTTGCCTCTTTCTGACATATAGAGACTCTTCAGGTCCCTTCTCTTTTGGATACATAAAACGTCAGAGAAAAAACTTTTTCCGGTCTATGAATCCAACATTAAATACTTATCCCTTCAAAATTAGTTTTATTTTCAATTCTCGTTTTTTTTTTAAATGAGGTCATGAAAGAATTAAAAGGATATATTGAATAGTTTTTAGGGAATTGGATTCTTAATTAACAGTTAAACAATTGATTCATTAATTAATCAAGAATTATTTATAATTTGTTAGTGTGACCCATACCGAATTAATAGGAGTTTTGGTTTATTCGTATCAAGTAAATGAAGTAATGCAAAGCATATTCGTCTTTTTTTTATTCCACATCTTTTTTGAAATAATTTGTATGTTAATTAAGATTAAAATTATTTTAAAAAATCAATTTCATATTGGTTTGGTATATTTACATGAACTAATGTGATAACTTTTATTTTTACATGGTAATCTTGTATATTAATTTCTACATTTTTAATATTTCATAAAATTTATCTTGGTTAATTAAAAACCAATTAATAGGATTTGTATAAGAATAATTAACTCTCTCGAATTGCCTTAGAATTACAATGCAAAGGATAGCGATTGGACTATTCCTCATGAGATTGCAAAATTTATTCATTTAATTAAGTAAGCTTTAATTTTTATTTTATTGTTATTTAATTCTTCACTTTTAAGGAAATAGAACTAAAATTAAATCATAAAATTCAAGTGTGTTCTATGAAACATGAATTTAATAGAAATTAGAATTGTTACAAAATAAATCAATAAGAACATTGAATTACAAAATAACAAATGTTACACGAATTGAGTGTTTTTCACAAATTTATTATATTACTTTACCACAAAGATTTTCTTGCATCCTTGCTCTTACGTACAATAAGCATTTATGAAGAATCTTGGTTCTATTTCTACAAGTCAATAGCAGCTTTTTTTACCCTCTCCTTCTTTTTATCTTCTTCTATTCAAAACAGAATCTGAAACAACAAAGAAAAAAAAAAAAAACACTAAATTAGCACTTTCATCCATTCATGCACATACATATGGTTTTAAAGTTATTGAAATGCTTGTTATATATCTAATGTTAGGTATGTAGTTAAAGGAGTTACCCTGGTGTAAAGGGACTTCGTCTCCACATGGGAGTGTCCTTCGTGGAGGGATTAGAATTTATGCGTCTTTTGGTATATCTTCAACGTGATGAATAAAATTTGACCTGATCTCTTTCATATCACCGTCGTCTCCTTCATCTTCATTAGCTTCATCTTCTGTGCGTAAGGCAACATTGTGCAAGACAAAAGTTTCTATATCACCCATTATAATGATAATAAGAATTTGATGAATAAGATGTTTATTTATAGACTTAGATTTCTTCTCCTCCAAGGTTTTCTAATCCCTGATGTTCTTTCTTTTTTTTTCTAGAATTTGGTATCCTGATACGACTTGCCTATTGAGGTTTTTCCCTTATTTTTCTTTAATTCAAATCCTGCAAGGCCTTGAACGTGGATGTTTATCTTGTCTTAGGTTTAGGTTTGTTGACACATCATCATTTAGATTTCTTTCTCTTTTTGGCATTAGCAAACGAGGAAGAAATCATTAGATATATGTGAATTTATATTCATTTCTTTCGTAAGACATGAAAACCGCCATGATACAATTAATACATGAGTGCCACATTTATTTAAGGAATGACTATGCAGGTAGAGACAAGGATGGAAGAAAATTAGAGTGGAAAATTAGCAAAAAATAAATAATTTCTCCTACATTCGGTATGATCCTAACTGAAAATTATGTTGTGATTGGAAACGAGAGAAGGACAACCGAGAGGAAAGGGATTTCGTTCAAATCAAAGTGTATATCTATAAGATTGTTTTTATTTATTTTTGTGTATTCATCATTATAATTTTTATATCTGGTTTTATGCTTTCAGTTTTATTTGTCATAAAAGAATAAACCCGAATAGTCAGTAAACAAAAACTAAACGACATAATATCGCATGCCTAAAGGTCCATTATAATATACTTTCAAAAGTTTAAGCTTTTTTTCTAAAAATAAAATATATTTAACATCTTTGGAAAATAAATTCATTATATTTGCAACAAATGGTCTTATAATTTACAACACAAAGCTATGCAAAAGAATTAAAAAACCATTTGAGTATTTGAATTTTCCATTAAATATACTTAGTTGTCAGCTTATTAACCCTCATTTTAATTTCAGCGATCACTTCTCCGTTAGCTTATGCGATAGAAAGAAAAGGAAACTACAAGTTTTAACTTAAAATTTACATTACAAACTGATCAAATCCCCGCAATTGAATATTTCTTGAACCATGAATTTGTTAATGAATAGCTAAATATCTTTGATTTACTCATCTAAATGCATGCACACATCATCGAGTTGTCTGGTACATCACTTATCTAAACTGAAGATTCACCAATACCAGCTATAGGAAAGGGAGGAAAAAAAAAAAGTACAAGAAAGACACCATGTTGAGATCCTCTATTAAATCGGCAAATTAAACCATATGCAAATAATTTGACAAATTTGAGTCTATGTTCATTACTTTAAGGCAATACAATCCAGCGGTCTTTAATTCTTAGTATACATACAAAAATTTATTGATGTGAAAAACTTCAGCCATTTGGCTCAATTTTGACTAAAATGCTCTACCCTATTAAAAAAAAAAAAAAAAAAAAGGGAATCATTTTCTATTTTTTTTAAAAAAAAAAGAATAAAAATGTGGGATCCGCATATGATTTTTTTTGCAATCCCACGCTTCATATTGCACATTTTAGAAGAATAAAAATGGAACTAACCTAATTTTAATTTAGGCTCCTTCTCTAATAAACCTACTTGGGTGCTTAGATCAAATTGTCTAGGTGTAACAAATATGGGATCAAATTTGTCAAATTATATACATATAGTTTAATTTGTCTATTTGATACAAACACGGAATCTCAAATTAGACTTCTTCTAAATTTATGCTAATGATTGCTTCACATAAGTAGAGACATACATACAAAATCTTTACAAATTTTAATCATAAACAGTGACATTACTAATTAAATGCATTTTGTTTTACCGTATTGTTACAACTTACACGCACAACTCATCTAGTAAATAAAAACTATTCCCATGGTAAAATCTGATGACTAACATTCATAACACAGAACCAATCCACCATTAACTTATTCTATTGTATGCACAACTTTGATTAAAATTAGCTTTATCAGCCTACCTCCAATAACATGTACAAAGACGACACTGACTGCCGGTCGTATCACAAAGCCAAGGACAACTTGCGGTATAATGCCGGACGTGCAACCAGGATGATAAAGATGCCTTTGTTACTAGACAATAAGTACATTCATTTAATCTTGCCGAAAGACTAGATTTTTAATTGGAAAAGCAGGTTTGTTCGGTAATGAGATATCATTAAGATTCAATATACAAAATTCAGTAAATGAAGTTGGTTTATTCTGTCAAGGGTTTTTACTTCACTTCCAAGATCTGGTGCTGCGTACACCTTCGGGAGCTAGTTTTTGTGTTTCTTGATGAGCATTCATGAAAAAGAAATGAAGTTCAAACAAAAATAAAAAGAAAAACAATCTAATAACAAGTTTACATGAAATTAATTATCTGATTACATCTAAACATTTAAGAACATCCAGTACAAGAGTCTTTATTTATTTATTTTCCTACCCTTCTGCACGATTAGTCATTTTTTGCATGATTGCTCTAAGTTGGAAATACCACCCATCACCATCTTCTTCGCTCTCATTTTTCCACCGGTCTTTACACTTGAAGCACCTGGTCAATAGAGTTAGCCATTTTGCTTTTGTAGAATTTTCCAATGGCAAGGATGCTCTCACCTTATCAAGAGAGTCATTACACCACCATTATCTGTAATCACTCTGTTTTACAACTCATCTACGTGAAGACAACTGGCTCCAAGACCATTTTTTGTGTTCGATACATGTTTAATCCAGGTCCATTCGGAAATCAAGGTGTTTCTTCCCATCATTTCTTGGATGACCAGAACCTGTAGAGACAAAATATAAAAGATTCCGACACCAATGAAACTTAAAAACAGATACTGAAACCCACATAGAGATAATAAAAGTTTAACATTGAAAAATTAGAGTTAAAACCCTAACCCAGAGAATACAAGTTAAATTAGCCTTACTCAATAACATGATCTTGTTAAAAAAAAAAAAAAATTACCTGGATCGAGATTCTTTATTGTATCTGAGGCATACTCCTGGAAATAACCATTTGCTTGGCATTTTCCTTACTGATAACGGAGCATGGAAGTCCGTTTGAGACTTCAGTCCAAAAGAAAATTTTTAATATATAAAAAAAAGCTGGGATTTAGGTGATATGTTACAGCATGGAGAGAGCTATGAAGAAAATCATCCCAAATTTCATCAATCAAATTCCATAGTGGCATGTATCTGGACTTATTTTTTCTATATCTGATCCATAGTATCAGATACGATGCCAATGGAACCTCATCCTCTATGATGAGCTCGTCAACAACACGGATAAGTGCGGTTGTTGTCTTTGATGCCAGTTCTGCTCGCTTCCAAAAAAGAAGACTTCTTCACCAAACCAGCTAATAATGTGGAAAAGATATCCTGAAATATCAGAGGAAGATAAATCAGCACCATATTAATTTATCTTGAACAATAGCTAACAATTCACTAAGAAGATAGAACAAAACCCTAACCTGGACTTTTTCTAAATCTCCAATCTGATTACAAAAACTTGACTTCTGCTTCTCCATTTGGCCATCTTCACCTTCTTCATCGCCTTTCTCTTCTTTGAGTAGGCTAATACTGTGAAAGACGGCAGCTGCCATTTCATCCATTTCGGTGATTGTTAGGGTTTGGTGAATAAGATGTTTATATAGGAAGATACATCTCCTCTTTTCTTCTAGGGTTTTTAAAACCACGTGTTGTTTCTCTCTGTGGTCTTTTTTTCCTAGATTTTCTTGCTATGTTTGGTTTTTTCCCTGGATTTTCTTGATATCTTTGGCATTAACACATAAGGTATGTTGATGAATACTAGTGCTGTAATTAGTAGTAAACTAATGACGCTAACTGAAAACTGATTTGTTATTGCAAAAGACAGAGTACCAATTAAAAGGATAGGATTTGGTTCAAATCCAGGATCTAGAGACCTATGTGTGTGTCTATCTAGTTATCACATCTTATAGATGATTTTCCCTTTCAAATTTTTATTCTTATCTAATCTCGCTTCTAACTTTATTTTATCAGATTAATTAATTTCATCCATTATTTTTTCAGAGCAAATTGTGAGATAAACCATAGATAGACACATAAACCAAGACTAGTTACCCTGGATGGTGAACCATAAGGATGGAGAAGGGGGCTCTTACACAATGTTGGAGCCGGTATTTGAGTAGTTATTATCCCACTTGTCAATTTTATTTATTTATTTTGAGAAAGATAGTAATTTTCTTAATATTACACTGATACAAACCAAATGACTATATATTACCATATTAACATCTGTTATAAGAAAAGAAAATAAATTCTTGTAAGAAATTGAATCATCGCCTTTCGAGCAACATCTAATATACATCTAATATTATTATGGACAAATCCCTTATGCAGACGAATCTCTAACTACCGTAAATAAACAGACGAACGGATCGGACTATTAGACTCCATATATTCATGAAAGATTTTTTCCAACCCAGCAAAACCTATTTCAAATGATAAGACAAAAATCTCTCAAATCTAGAGACATAAAACTCTCATTCACAAAAAGAACCATGCTCAAAAAAAGATCAGAAAAAAATCAGGTCCTGATCGTATGAAATTAACAAAAGAACGGAAAATTCTCATCAATATAAATAAAAATAAGAAAAAATCAATAAAAAGGGAGTCGCTGCTGGGTAAATGTAACCACTTGCAACTCAAACTAGATTTAAAGAAAGGTGTTTTCTGATCATTAAGAGGGAGGGACGATCCGCTGGAATTCTGGAATTAGTTTTTCGTGGATAAAAGTCAAGCTCTTTAATACGTTGATTTAAATTCTGGAATCGAACAAGTGGATCAATGTATGTATTGAAAGTCAAAGGAAACATTTTGAGATGGGCAGTGAAACTTACTTGTGAAACCAAATAGGGATATCTTGTACAAATGCCATGCTTTAATTTTATTTAATATATTGATCGAGATTTAAGATGATATAAATGGAAAATTTACATTAAAATGATAATCAAGACTTCAAGTGCATAAAAAATTTCATAATTTATAATTAATAAATAAATATACATCAACTTTACATCATTGGAAATTCAGTTCAGATGTGAATTTTGTTTAGTACATCACTGATATGAAGATCTTAGCATGGCTACAAACTGATAATTCATGGGTGGTTTTCATCACAATAATACCTCACAAGGATTCTGCTTCTGTTTTTGGTTTGACTCAGTTTTCTTCTTCTAGGAAAGAGAAGCTTATTCTTTCTCATTGGATGATTCTAGTAAAACGAGGTACTATTTATGGCTTCACCTTCTTGTAAATAGCAAAAAAAAACTAATGATAACAAATCAAAACTTTGTTGTCAATCCAAGGTGGACCTATTAAGATAATTAGGAGCCGTTTACTTGAGGAAAAAGAAGAAGAAGAAGAAGAAGAAAGAAAGTTTAGAGTATATATAGAAGCAACAAATAGAACTTGGGAATATTAGCATTGCAGGTAAACAAGCTTGAACAGCTCATGCAGTGAACAAAAACCAAGAAACTTTTAGACCATGCTAAGAGTTCCATTAACCTCCATTCTGTTTTCTTGTCTTTTTCATGGATAAACTAATCTCAGATTGAAAAAAAAAAAATTCTAGGAGTTTTGATATTGTTGAAGAACAAGAGAAAAGTAACACAAGTGTATCTAAACACACAGTATGTCACAAATAAGTATTATCTACAATCTAAAAAAAAAAATCCATTCGAAAAATGTATATTTGATAAAGCTTTAAGAAGAAACAAGAGAATAGATTTAGTCAAGCTATCTTCATAACCAAACATAATTATCCCCTCAAAGGTAAAAATATCTATATGACTTGAAACGTTGTCAAACCTAACAAAATTTCTAAAAATTGCAATCATAATCAATAGTTGAGAATGTTTTACTACATTTTGGTTATGCATGAGTAGATAAGTTATATAGATTTGTCTTAGAAAATTTGTATTAATTTCTTTTTAGCTTAATGTACTAGAAAATCACAAATTATACACTTTTTAATTATTTTAGCTCGTTCTTTCAAAATTATATAGAAAGGTCACCAACTAAGCATTCAATAATAATACGAGCATCAATCTAATTTTTCGATCAGGATTTCGATCAACGCTGATATGGCACTCCACGTAAGCATAACAGTGGACTTTAGCAAGCCATATAGGATTAACGTCAACAATGACATGAAAAATTAATTGCATGGATCCTATATGGCTAGCTAAAGTCCACATGTCATGCTTGCATAGATCCTACATGGCTTGCTAAAGTCCATATGCCATGCTTCATTACTTGCCATGTCAACGTTGATTAGAATTTTGGTTGAAAAATAAGATCGATACTAGTATTATTATTGGATGCTTAGTTGGTAGACTTTCTATATAATTTTAAAAAAATGAGCTAAAATCATTAAAACGTGTATAATTTATGATTTTCTGAAACATTAAGCCTTTTTTTTTTTCCAATTTGGATTTTTGTCTTTTTTAACGGCCTGGAACGCGAACAGGTGGGTGGGAAAGGAAACCAAAACAAGGTAGCTGCTGAGTTCTTAATAATCATAATGCTTTATTCATGTAAATGACAAAATGAATATTAACTAGCAAAGAAAAAGAAATATATTTAAACATAATTTGATACATTAATTAAGACGAGTATTATATGCTATTCGAGCACTTCTAGTGGCATGTATAGAATAAGATGACATGTAGCTTCACATATATGCACACAGACCAACAAACTAAATCTATCAATCCCAACAAAGTTGGATCAACTATGTTGATCACCATTCAACTCACATGCCCATGCACAATTGTACATGCATGCAAACATTTTTTTTCTTACTTAATTATGTCGAAGATTAACCAATTAATAACATAAAAATTAATATTCTTAACACAGTTAAAAGAATCTAAAGCTTCTATTAAGACTGAAAATTACCATATTATCAGCATCGATAGAATCAAATTAGACAAATCATCACTGAATCCATTCCTAGCCCAAGTACAGCAATTTCGAACGAAGATGCTGCATTCTTTCTCAACTTACTTTAACACTGCAGCCTGAAAATACACATGCATAAAGAAAACAAAAGAAACTGGCTAATCTGATGAAACTTAATTAAAAACACACAAACACATGGTTTCACCAAATGATTTGAGAAATCAAAAGTTAGGAAAAATAGTAGCTCTGACGTCGAGGGAATAAAAAGGCTTGTTGTTAAGTTTAAGGAATCCTTACGCAGTAGCTATCTGCACAAAGAACATATCTTCATTCACTTTCTGCCCTTGTGAACCGTAAATGACTATGTGAGGCAAAGATGATGCAAAGTTTAAGACATAATTGATGCTCATGCTCATATGACTACCGTGCTAACTTATATCTCCTTTCTTAGTGATGATAATTGTGTTCAACTTTAAATATTATCTTCTTCCATTCTTGCCATTTTTCTTTCAATTTTGGAAGTTGGTTTTCCGATGTAGTTTCAAAAAATCATTGGCAACAAACTACAAGGAAATACAGAAATTAAAGTGGTCCTTGAGGGAAAAATATGTTCAAGATCAAAGCAGAATCATAACAAATAGAATGATTTCTTAAGAAAGAAAAGAAGCTCCAAGATAACGATGATTAGACACTCAACTGCTGTAAATTCCCTTGAAACATTTATTCATGAGCAGATAAGTTAAGATAGAAATAAAATTTAAAAGTTTGTGGCGGCATGCATCAATTAAGATGACAAATGTGCATATACACTCATATATAACTAAACTGATCGGTCCAAAACCAATTGGATCAGAAGCAAACACACGCGCGCGTGCACACACACACACACGCTCGTACATACACATGTATTGTTTCTCACCTGATAAGCACAATTAACATTTATAATCAGTATATATGCAGAGCTTAAAGATTCTAAAAACGAAATAAGATTTGCATAAATACATATTCCTAAACCAGAGTTGAACCCATTATTCCCAAACAAGTTGGGATCAGCAATGTAAATCAGGTGGACAAATGCTCATGTGTATATTGTTTTCCCTTTAATGTTAATTAAGATTCGGAATTATTCAGAACATTGCTTAAAGATTCTAATATGTAACATAGATTCTTAAATATGACATACAGATATAGCTCAAACATTCCAAACAAGTTGGAAACAGCTCCATAAATACCCATTCTCCATCCAATTCGAGCTACGCTCACACCCATTTTTATCAATTAAAAAAAATTCCAATTATCGAATAACAGACGATTCATACTCCAAACATGGTTTCAAGACTCTAAAGTCCCAATCAAAACTGATGAAAATATACCTGGA